ATTTGGCCATTCTGATATGTGGGTAGTGATTTCTCTTTGTTTTAATATGCATTTTTCTGATGACATATGATATGGAACATCTTTTCATATGCTTATGTTCCATCTGTGTATCTTCTTTGGTGAGGTATCCATTAAAGTCTTTGATAATTTTTTTCAATCAAGCTGATTGTTTTCTTATTTAGACTTTTAAGAGTTCTTTGTGTGTGTTTTTTTCTTTTGAACTAAAATAAAATGTGTTTACATTTTTTTCTGGGGAAGTTCAATTAAAAAGAAGTTCTAAACACACCTGGGAAGGTGTCAAAGCTGGAGAATCTATGAAATAATGTTACTCCTTAGTTGCAGCCTGATTGTAGCAACAGGAAGAACATCAAACACGGGAACACAATGTAACCCTTCAGTTTTGAAATGTTGCTAAATCTTCTGGTGCTTCAGAAATGATTGCCCTTGCCCTAAAAAATTTAAAATCATCTCTGTCATATGGGAGTGTCTTTGAATATTTTGGATAGCAGTCCTTTATCAGTTTTATCTTCTGCTATTTTCTGCCAGTCTGTGGCTTGTCCTGTCATTCTCTTGAAATTGTAGTCAACAGAGCAGTTTTTATTTTAATGAAATCCACTTTATCAATTATTTTTTCTCATGGATCATGCTTGTTGTGTTTTTATCTAAAAAGGCATTCCCAAACCAAAGGTCATCTAAGTTTCCTTCTATGTTCTCTTCTAGGAGTCATAGTTTTGCATTTTATGTTTAGCTCTGTGATCCATTTAGAGTTACTTTCTGTGGGGAGTGTAAGGTCTGTGTCTGGATTCATATTTTTGCATGTTGATGTCCAATTCCAGCCAGCACCATCCATTGGAAAAGACTATCTTTGCTACATAACGTTGCCTTTGCTCCTTTGTCAAAGATCCCTTGACTTAATTTATACGGGCTTATTTCAGAATCTCTATTCTGTTCTGTTGACCTGTTTGTCAATACTGTCACCAATACCACGCTACTTGGTCTCTGTAGCTTTATAGTAAGCCTTGAAGTCAAGTCAGTCATTCAAGTTTTTCTTCTTCAGTATTGTGTTGACTATTCTGGGTCTTTTGCTTCTTTATATAAACTTGAGAATCAAGTTGCCAGTATCCACAAAATAATTTGCTGGAATTTTGATTGAGATTGCATTGATCAATAGATCAGTTGACCACCGGAAATCAAGTTGAGAAAAACTAACATCTTGAAATTATTGAGTTTTCTTATCCATGAGCAGAGAATATCTCCATTATTTAGCTCATTTTTATTTCTTTTATTAGTTTTGTAGTTTTCCTCATATACACCTTGTACACATAACCTGTCAGGTTCATGCCTAAAAATTGCATTTTCAGGGTATGCTAATGTAAATGGTTTGTGTTTTTAATTTCAAATTTCCCACTTGTTCATTGATGATGTATAGGAAAGCAATTTACTTTTGTACATTGATCTTGTATCCTGCAACCTTGCTGTACCTGCTTATTAGTTCCAGGAGGTTGGTAGGTATGTTGGTCGGTTTTTAATTAATTCTTTTGGGTTTTCTACATGGAAAATTTGTTATGTGCAAAGAAAGACACTTTTATTTCTTCCTTCTTAATCTGTATATCTTTTATTTCCTATTTTTGTCTTATTGCAATAGTTAAAACTTCCAGCACAGTGTGAAAAGGAGTGGTGAGAAGGGCTATCCTTGTTTTGTTTCTAATCATAGTGAGAAAGCTTCTAGTTTCTTCTATTGTATTTTTAAGTGCATAACGTTCCTATAAAGAAAATCCTTTGAGTTTTTTCTCTTTTAAACCCGGATACTTAATTCTCTCACTACTTCTAGGAATTTTCCAGATGTTTCTGTTAAGTTCTCTAGGTATACAATTACAGAATATGCAAATAAGTACAATTCTACTTCCTTGTCCTTATTATTATAAGTACAATTATTTCTCACGTCTAATTCGATTGGCTTGTACTTTCAGAAAATTATTAAATAATAGTGTTGATTTTTTTTCTTGACTTTAATGAAAATACCTCTAGAATAACTTCATAAGATTTGCTACTGACTTTGGGGTTCATACAAATGAATAGATATATTTATAGTTAGCTTATGTAGTAGTCAATGTTCATTGGAATAACTAAGGAAAAAAAGAATCTACCTTATTCCATATAGACAACAAATTCCAAATAGATAAAAGAGTTATATGTATAAAATTAAAGCATAAAAATGCTAGAAATGCAAGAAGAAAACATGATCTATCATATATCCCTCCACTCCCCCAGGGACATGGTTGCTTTCCTCAGCATGACACAAAATCTGGGAGTCAAAGAAGAGCTACAGTTAAATCATCATGTTAACATTCAAAAATATTTTTAAAAGTGTCTTAACCTATAGCACAAAAACACCAGAAACTCAGAAAAAATATACCCTTTTAAAAGGCCCAAAATTAAATTGTTGATGCCATATCTAAAAAAATTGATATAGATTAGCAAGGAAAAAATGGAAACATGGACTGTTATTTAAATAGGAAGCCACAATAAATAAATAAATAAATAAATAGGAAGCCACAGAAAAGAAAATTTTAAAACTCTTAACCATATAGAAAAAAGTTCAGCTTTTCTGCACTATGCAAATTAAAACTATAATATGATCCCATTTTTGTCCCAATCAGATTAGAAATATTGAATATATAATAACATATTATGTGGTGAAGATATAGATGAACAGGCACAGCATTATATTGCTGTCAGGAAAACCAATAGTTCATAGCAAGTAATTTTGCAATAATATTAAAATTAACGATTCACCTTTTACACAGCGAAGTCTATTTTTAGAAACTGATACCATAAATATGTCCACATATATGTGAAAGTATGTGGATGAAATATATTTGTTGCATCTTTATTTATAAAAGCAAAAGTTTGGAAACAACCTGAATACTCATAGCTGGACAATTGGTTCAATAAATTATAGTACATACAAACAATGGAAAACCATGTAGCCGATGAAAAAGTTGAATCTATAAAAATTGATAAGGAATGAACTCTAATATATTTTTAAGTGAAAAATGAAGAGTTTGTATACTAAGATACTGTGTGTAGTGTTTTTAAATAGAAAATGTGTGAGTATGCACACGCTCATGTGCTTACTGTTTACCTGTTACATACCTGGAAAAATATATGGAAACCCATAACATTGGTTACCTCTGGGAACAGAACTGAGTTCTGAAGAACAGGTGGCAGGGAGGGTTTACACTGTAAAGTAAAAACATCCATGTCATAATACTTCCTTTATGAGAAAACGCACCATAGTTGTTATCCCTAAACTTTTACTTCCAAATAAATAACTGCCAGTGTTTTCCTGATGCCTTATGGGACAGATAGAGTTTTGGGGTAAAATATCCCTTTTCCATTCATTTAAATTTACTGATTTAATTTTTCTATTCTTGTAGGCTGATGGAAAGTAGATTGTATGAAAGTTAGTTCACTTACTAGACAGAGGGTACAGATTTAGTCTTGAACATCCCACTTGTTTCTGGCCATCCACTGAAAAATACGGTCATAAACCTGACAGCGGTGGTAACGTCCTTCAGTGAAATTTGAGGTCCCTCTAGGACTCTTCACAAAACAGTTATGGCTGCAGTTTTATTATTGCAGTTTACATACACCAAAGCTGCAATTAACTGCATCATAGCTTGTTGACCTTAATGAGTTAACACAGTTTCCAAATAAAACTCATGGCTGAGCAGGAGACTCGGCTCTGGGAAGTCTTGGCTCCATAGTATCTGTGAAATTTGAGCTCATATTAAATATACCTTAAAACTATGCATCTGGGATTTGGCTCCTGGCATCAGGTCAGATCTGACTCTGCTGTATGGAGTTGAGAGTTTTGCCTCAGGTCCTTGTAATATGTTAAGCACTATAGGACTATAGACTCAGCAAGAATAGCATTATTGCTTGGGTGAAGAAAAACACTTCCGTTCTTGTTGAGCTTATGGCACCCTGGCTTCTTTCCGATTATTTTTTCCCAAAATAGAAGAATTCTGCTGTCTTTTCCCATCTGAAGCCCAATCTAGGAATTTCTTTCCAGCCTACTCTTTTTCTCATTCCTAGTCACATGAATGGCATTTGTCCAACACTGAACCATCTCTGTGTGTGTTCAAGTAAGCCAACCCTGCCATGGCTAATGATGTGAGCAGGTCACAGATCCAGTTGTCTCAATCTCAGATTAGCTCAAAACTCAGGTCTGTGACTCCATCAGTACTGATTATTTGATTGGTTATTAAGGCTGGCTGCAGCAAACTGTTTTGATCTGCTTGGCCAGGAGCCACTTGTCAGGACCTAAGGGTTGGATTTTTATATCCCCTCAGAGTCAACTCCCTTTCCACTTGATCCTGTTGATAAGCTATCCATTGCCTCTATGGGGATCCATCCTCATCTGGGTGGCTTACAGAGTGAACAGTCCATTAGAGACATGATGGTATTTAGCCTAATGTGCTTTAATTAAGGCTATAGTTGAATCGCTTTCTTAAGTCATGGCACAGTTCCTGTATTGGCAAAGCAAAAGAATGAATAAACATGGGACACTTAACCAAACCTGAGATAGAAAACATATCTGTTAAGCCCAAGCCAGTGAAGCAGAAAGTAGAATGGTGGTTGCCAGGGGAGGGGGAATAGAGAGTTGACATTCAAAGGGTATAAAGCTTTAGTTATGCAAGATGAATAAGTACTAGACATCTGCTGTACATCTTTGTGCTGGTAGCTGGTGATACTGTCATGCACACTTAAACACCAGGTAGACCTGGTGTTAAATGGTCTTACTACCAAAAAATTTAACAATTACATTTCACTTAATTGGAAACAAAAATCCAATCCTCTAGTTTATATTTCATGACCAGAGTTTATAGGTATTAAAATCTTCTCTTAATCTCCTTAGAATATCTGCATCCTTCTTTTTTTTTAGGACTTTCATATGCAGAGTAAATGGTAATTAAAATGTGCAGGATGACAAGATGGAGCAAACAGTGCTTGTACCACCAGGACCTGACAGCTTCAACTTCTTCACCAGAGAATCTCTTGCGGCTATTGAAAGACGCATTGCAGAAGAAAAGGCTAAGAATCCCAAACCAGACAAGAAAGATGATGACGAAAATGGCCCAAAGCCAAATAGTGACTTGGAAGCTGGAAAGAACCTTCCTTTTATTTATGGAGACATCCCTCCAGAGATGGTGTCAGAGCCGCTGGAGGACCTGGACCCATACTATATCAATAAAAAAGTGAGTGTTTTTATCAGGCATATTTTACTGCTAATTGCCTACTGCATACCTTGGACTATTATAGTACCAACACATGCCAAATTAGCAGAAAGTCCTTCTGTTTAAAAAATAAAACACATTTGTATGTGTTTTATGTAAATGTGTTTTATGTATATGCATGCATGTGAAATAAATTGATATCCTAACAGATGGAGCTGTCCCAAATGCACCATAATGGATACCTAAAAATAAATATATGTTGTAGGCAGGCAGCTAATTTAACAAATTAAAAAGTTCTCCCCAGAGATTGTATTAACTATAAAATTTGATGTGGCTTTTGCACTTGAAAATCCTGAAAGTATCACAATGATAAAGACTTCGAAAATGTCAATATTAATTTCTCATGGAACAAAATTTGATGCCACAAAGGGTTTCAATTTCTATATAATGTTATATATAATAAATCAATTTTCTGCAGAAATTTTTTTTCTGCTTGGAAAAGAACATTCCTATACAAACTATAGTTTTAAAAGTTATTCAGAGCAAATTATAATGTACTTTTTCTTTCCATTTGGATCCATGTACCTTTGGGAAGTATCATGTTTAACAGTAACATTCATTAAAACTCAGTATATCAATCAACTGAATTATGAAACAAATAACTGAATTGCTGTACGACAAATGTTAAATCAAAATTTAAATAGTGAAAGCTATTCAACCATTTTCTCAATACTATTAATACATAAAATTTTACTTAAAATGTTTTTATTTCAAAAAATTATTCAATTTCTTGATGGAAGTATATTGATATTGGTAAGAATTAACAAAAACATAGTATTCTGAAGAACTTATGAAATAATATTTAAATGCCTGCATTTTCTGTATCCATGCTTGAAATGAATACCTTATGATAAGCACCCAGTCTTTCATAATAACCATGATTTCACCAAACCAAGAAGGAAAAGCAAAAAAGTATCATATTGGTATTACATTATATTTATGACTAGTTAACTTCCAACATTTTATTGTCTTTTTCACCTTTGAACTCTTGGTAGAAGGGTAGGGCAAAAAGATTGTAACTAAGCAAATAAATTTATTTAGTTGGACATGAGCCTTAAAATATCCCCAAAACTTTTAGGGACCCTCTTGGTTGCTGGCACAGTTCTGTATCAAGTTAGTCCTTATTAGATATATAAGTTTGGTGATTTTAATATGTGGATTTGAGACAGTTTCACAAATTACTTCTTATTGACTACTGTAGTTTCAGAGGTAAAAATCTCACTATGCTCAGATTTTTTTTTAATTTTTAGGGATATAACCAATTTCAGTACTTACTTTCCCTTTTTAAAAACTGGTCTGCCTGTTATACAGTATAGAAAGAGTTTTTAAAGTCACTTTCTATAGATTTTATTATCTTTTATTTAACTTTGCTTTTTAACATAGTATTGTTAAATCTTAGCAGGTAAGAGTTTATCCACTTTATAACTACCATTTAAATTATAAATTGCACATTATGGTTAAGTTAATCCTTTGAAAATTAATTTAATATAATATCCAGAAAGCTAAAACCCAAATTAAGCCAATGATGAAGGGCTTATTTGCATAAGGAAAGTAACAATGCAGAGAATTCAATTATACAACATTTTAACTTATTTAAAATTGCTTCATTATTAAAGGACTCTGATGTGTTTCTAGGCAGAAATTCATTCACACCATAGAATTTGTTCCTTTATTTTTTTCAGCCATTGGACAGCCTGTTTAAAAGTGCTATTATCATGGATTAGTGAGCTCCATCCTCAGCAGGACTTTTGCTGCCCCCCAATATCCATGCCCCACCTTTCTGGTAGGAATCATAATCTAAAAATAATTAAAGCTACCCAGAGACTACCCCTTTATCAACAGGGCTGAAATCTAGCCTCACAGCTCATACTCCATGTCCTTATTTATAAAACAGTAAGTGATTATTTTGAGAAAGACCAAACTAATACATGTTGACAAGGGCAATTCTTTATGTGAAAACCAGATTATCCAATCAATCTTTGCTTTAAATTAAAGAGTTTTCTTTCCTTTTTAAAAAATATTTTATTTATTTATTCATGAGAGACACACAGACAGAGATAGAGACATAGTCAGAGGGAGAAGTAGGCTCCCTGTGGGGAGCCTGATGTAGGACTTGATCCCAGGACCCCAGGATCACAACTGGAGCGGAAGGCAGATGCTCAACCACTGAGCCACCCAGGTGCCCCAATTTGAGAGTTTTCAAACTGATACAAGTTGTGTTGAGGGAGTATCCCCCCAAAAGAACACCCCTTGATTGGCTTGTATGTAACAAAGGATACAAAGGCAGATAGAAAAGAAAATTATGCAAATCTTTTCAAATAGTTAAAAGAAAAGGTGTTAAAACTGAGGATAAAAGACCAACTGTGAAGGAATGACTAGCCAGCCAGATTCTTGTGCTGAAGTAACCCTTAAAACTTTGTTAGGCTCACATTCAGACTTGCCTCTAACCCTCATCTATCTTTATCTTCAAATGCACATTGTGTGAGGAAGGAAAAACATTTTGGCATTTTGGAACAAATCACATTGTCCAAGCAGGACGACCCGATAAAAGAAATATTGTTATCAGGAAGTTTTCCCCAAGGTAAGGCACATGCATTGGCTCACCACTGAGCTGACATCAATCAAGCAAGTCTTCGAATGTAAGCCATCCAACAACAATGCAAATGAAGCTCTGCAGTACTGTAATCCTTAGAAACTAACCCTGCATGCTTAGGGCACATGACTAAGCTATGTGTTTAAAATTTCCTTCTTTTGCATTTTCATGGGAAGACGTTCTATGGTTGCCATTACACTGTTTTCTAGTCTTAAATTTTCTCTCCATAATTGGATTATCTCAATATTGAGGAATAGCCTTAAATTCTAAGTTAGTTTGCTCTGATTAAAGTTGGAATGCTTAGAAAATTAATAGCCTTTTTAAAATAATGACTATTTCTTTTGATATTTGATAACCAGTTTTATTTTCTGACTTGGATATCTGAGATCATCAAGGCAATCTTCATTAAAATGGTGGATTACACACACATGGGAATCCTAGCATAGACAAAGCGTCTAATGGTGGAAATGTCCCTGGAGAAAATGCTTCTTAGGATGAAATTTCCCACTATCCCTGATATTGGGGTTGTGGATTTTATTGCCTGAGTGAGTTGGAATATGCAAATATCAGGAGGCCAGTGACTTACTTCCCAAAGGTTTAACTCAAGTACGATAATTCATGTGCCATTTATAGCTATACACAAAGTCTCTAGTTTCTTTCTTATTAATGTGTAGAATAAACAAAGCAAGCCACTATAAAAATGGTTGCAGAATCTGTTCTTTATGTTATAAAGTATAGTGGTATCCATATGGGAAATTTATATGTAAGGAATAGAAACACACAAACCACACTAAAGCCCTCTGTGATCTTCTAAAAAGACAATGTCAGTGAGCTTTTGGAAATGTCATTGCTGATGGTGTATTTTCAGATGGCATATGCCCACATATTTTTATCTTCTTTGCCCTAGTTTAAAATGTGCAAGTTATATAATGTTCAAGAGTTCTACTAAAATTGTTAAAGTAGTTTAATCCATGGTGGTCAGTAATATGGTAGTAACAACTGAAGAGATCGTAGCAACCATCTCATGAACATTCCTGATGCATGGAAGCATTTCTAGACCCTCAGAAGTTTTAAGCCTTCAGCAGTCCACAATAAGAACTAAAAAATAAAATAACAGTGCTATCAGAATATAGTCACAGAATTTTCCCTATCATGTTAGCTCTGGTCCAGTGGTCTTCAAAACACAATTCCAGGTTGGGTTCCTTTTGTTTGTTTATTTGTATTAGCTATGTGGCAAGGCACATTAGTTTGTGAACACTTTTTAAGCTTTTTTTCCCTTATTTTTTTCCACTTTTTTTTTTCATAGTTTGGCTTCATTTTGTACCATTTGGCTATACATTCAAATTCTTCACCTACTCTTTATTACAGAAAACTTCTTTCTTTTCATGTTCTTCTTAAAATTACAGATGACTCATTAGTACCATGGAAGAAAATATCCTTTGTGACAGTGTCCTAGAAATAGAATGAAGTATTTTAGATCTGTAGTGAAAATGGATGTTTGTTAATTATGGAATATAGAAATGTATCCATTTAAAAATGTATTCTTTCTTTGATCGTCTCATGGGCCATTTATGAACAACTTATTCTCCCTTTTTATCAACTCTTCTAAAAAAAGATGCATACTGCCTCTTTATTGGAGCTGCTTGAAGAGTCATATATGAATTTGTGATTCAAATTCATGCCTGGTCTGTTACTGCTGCAGGAATTTAAAATGGCTATATTGAGTAGAGAGAGCTGTTTGCTTTGTTTTTAATTGGGATTAAGGGGTTTTTCTTGCAAAAAGAATTTAACAGAAAATAAGAAAAGTAGATGGTAAACAAAAGCTTATGATCCCATAAATTATATTATGAACAGTCGCCAATTTATAACTTTTTTTGGCATATCATTAGCACCTCTAGAGCTAGCAGTCCCCCAGGCTCTCCCTTATACCTAAAGCACTATAGTTGACTTCCAAATCTTTCTCCACCTCATCCATTATTTCTTCCTTATGCCCCTATCTTCATCACTTTCCCATCTCTGGCTCAGAAACAGTCCCAAATGAAGGTGATGGTAGTAAAATCATGGTTAGCATTTATTAAGCACCTGCTATGTTAGGAAGAAACCCTTTGATTGAGACAAAAATCCAACAGAAACAAGTTCTTGAAAACAAACAAGCTAACTAATTAATAAATAAATGTATGTGTGAGGTGAATCTCATTTAACTATCAAAGGATCTAGCAGCTAAAAGAACAGCAACAGGACACAGTCATTTTCCATTTGAGCTCTACTTTCTCCTGTGCTGGCTATATTCAGACTGGCTCTTCCCACAAGATGGCAGAAATGGCTACTGGCAGCATCACGCTAACATCTTATACAGCCCAGTAACCCC